AAAAAAATCAAGTTTAGATTTCCTATTATGCTAAGTCATTAATAAATGCTTTCTTTGGATATCTTCAGTTTTCTTAACTTTCTTTTAATACGTCAACATACATTTCACAAATAATATGTAAAGGGCGGCGCACTTGTAAATCTCGGCTTACGTTTGCAGGCGCGTACACGTTGTCTCCTTGCTGTGTTCGACTTTTTTTAGCAAACAAAAAGTAAACTTGTTTTTCATTACGTCTTAGATTAATTTTTTTCCTCTTTAGTGCTGGAAGCATTTGTTACGTTAGCAACCACCGATGAGTACGCGTGTGGCGCTCTTGTTCTAGCCCACTCACTAAAAAGAGTTGGAACCACCAAGCAACTGGTGTGCATGGTGACACGTTCAGTAAACGAAGCCTTGAAGTAAACCATTTTATTTATGATTTATTTTCTATATAGGTCCATCCTTGCTGAAGTTTTCGATCACGTTGAACTTGTCGACGTGCTAGATAGTAAAGATGAATTGAACCTCGCTTTACTTTCGAGACCGGACTTAGGAGTGACTTTTACGAAACTGCATTGTTGGAGACTTACCCAGTACAGCAAGGCCGTTTTTCTGGATGCAGATACTCTGGTAATTTTTCTATTCATGTTGCATTGCAATCACTGACACTTGATCATGCAGAATTCTACTTTGTATTACTTGAAAAATTATCTTTTCATTCTACATAGGGCTGGCTCGCTTCTTTTTGAGCACATCTTTATAATATGCCATCTACGATGTGACTTAGTGATCGCCAATAACACGAGAATTCCGAGCTCTTAATTTGACTTGAAAGAATTTCTGAGCATAATCCTTGTTCGGGTCCGTACTTCTAGTCGGTAAATCGTAATTAGATACCATCCGGCCATATCGTCGGGTAGTACTTAGCCCTCTGATGGTTTGAAAATTTTGGAGGGCCAATATTACGGATTTTGTAAAATCTAAGAACTTGTGGCGAAACTTAGAAAGTGAACCGATTCTTCCTGAAGTAGTTACGTTTGCCTTGCGCGTGGTATATATATTATTTACTGCGCTAAATGTTGATACCTGCAAAGGCGAAATCGTACTTTTCAAAAATCAATATTATCTGGTTCTTGTAAAGCGGGCGTCCCATTGTTTCGCCCTTTAATAGTTTGTAATTGAGACGTGTACCCGAATAAATAGGCCCAACTACGTGCGGATAAAGGAAAATATATGTTTCAGAATAGGGTTCTCTTTTATAGGGTGGCAGTCAACCCATTTAAACTCGGCACAAATAGTTTATATTTCCTCCATCTCGATCCGTTCAGTAGGTCCATTTCCAAAGTTAAAGCTCAGGCTACGAAATGACTTATTTACTTGATAGAACCAAAAGGCTGCATGTTAGAAATGAATTGCATCATCTCGATAATCGCCTAATGGCTAATTTTTTTATCTGCTGCTTAGAGCTCAATGTTTTGGATGTTCATGGATAATGTGCTGGGATCGATAATATAGAACATTTATATAAGTGCATTTGTCGTCCCTCCTGGCAAACACATGCCGTATGAGACGTGGGCCAGTGAAGGTGATTTATGCCTTTAAAAGTTTCTTCACCGTCCGTCGGGTCTGGTATTCATTCAAATGTACTAAGTGGTTTTCCCATTAACATTTTTAGCGAGGTTATATATTATTGAAGCCATATATCGTAGAAGTAAATGCACATGCCTTTTCTAGTTGTGTATTATAAAGTCGTTTTTTTAAATGGAATATCACTTTGCACTCTCAGCACAGGCGTTAAAGTTCCACTACTGTGTGTCGATTGCAAATCTTAATACCCATTAGTAGGTTCTCGATCATTTTCGTAGTTTTTCAGCTTTGCGAGCAAACGATAACAAGTGGCTGTGGAAAATCTTTTTATTTACACGTTAGAATAATTTTTCATTCCCCTCGATTCAGTGACGTCAAATCAAAGCGTTTGCATAACACCAGAAGCCCATTTGTACAATGTCAGAAAAATTCCACCATCAGGTGTTTACGACTCAGCTACTTAAAATGGAATTTAAAAATATGGCAATTATCTGTTTATGTTACAGCAACTGATTTCTGCGAGCGTCTTCCACAATTCCGTCTTTTCAACTACTTAAAACCTCGCCGCCTAGTTATCAGTTTGAAATGTTTTTATGTACAACTGTTAACTTTGCGGCAGCAAACCACACACACA